ACAGAGCCTTGGGTGATCAATGATGACACCCAGATTACAATCTACCACCTCAGAGCCATTGTTTATGGACTTTGGAGACGCAAGTATGGGCTGCAGGCTTACTTTGAAAGGAATGCTACAGCTCATGTGGCCTTTCTTTCTCAGATTTTTATGAAAAACTAATAAAAACTCTATTAGTTAAAATAAATACCTTTCATGGTCATTCAGTTTAGTATCCCAAAGTGCCCTGAATGTCCCCCTCTCTTCATCTCTCTTCTAAGTACCCTCCTTGAGAGCAATGATGTCATCCCTCCCAGAAGGGAAAGAGGAAGTCCCCATTTCTAGTTTGGAAAGAATGGCGTTTGGAAAAGGCTTTGTTTTTTTTTAGGTTCAGGGTGGGGTATGTGTGTCTGGTGTGTGTGTTTGGAAATGCTCGTCTTTCCTGAACTTGGATCTGGAAGCAATTACATGATTAATAGTGGTGCTGTTACCACGTCCTGCTCCCTTTCCAAAGGTGATTTGTCAGCACTCTGCACACACGTCTGACACAGGTGGGGCGTGGCCGCTGTCCGGAGGGTCAGGAACAGGCACGCCCACTGCTTCTGCGCCAGTTCCAGGCTGGCTGTGCGGGTCTTGGGTCAGGAGTGGAATCCTCCAGGCCTGGCAGAGCCGAGCAGTTTACAGGCAGGTGACGACGGTCCTGCATTGTCACACGGTGGTTTCAGAGGGCTGTGCCCTTCCCACCATCAGGGAAAGTGTCCCAAACAAGTTCTTTCCTTCTTTCATTGCCAATTTGGCAGAAGTCGGGAGTGGCTGGTTGTTCCCCATGGCTGGCCTCACTGTAACATTCAAAGGAATGTTTCCAACGTGGTTTCCTATGGATGTAGGAAAAGGCGCCGGAGTTTGGGTCCGGAAACCTGGCTCCTCTTAGCAGTGTGTTTGGGGAAGCCCCTCAGATGCCCAGCTGTCCGGTGTGGGGTTTTGGACGTCCCTGCAAACAGTTGAGAACCTTCTACTAAGCGGAAGGTTGATGGCTCGAACCCACCCAGACACACTCCCGGAGAAACTCCTGCAGATTTGCCCCTGACACGTCAAGTGTCAAGTCAGAGCCTGCAGGGTTGGATACTCCCTGGACCACGGTTCTGCCCTGAACTCGTGGGCTTGCTCCCCGTGAGTCAGTATCGGCTCCCCGGCGCTGGTTTCCTTTGGTTTTGGTTTGAGTAGTTTGTGCTTCAAGCGCTCTTCGGGCCCATGCTTTTCGTGATTTCAGTTTGTACGTTTGAAGCCCAAGGAGGGCATTCTTCTGCTCGACTTCCAGGGGCCAGTCACAAGAGTGCTGCAAAGAAGGGGAGGGGAGTGCTCTTTGCCACTGTGACTGTTGGGGACTGGCGGTTGTTTCCAGGAATTGCTTTTAGAATTCTTGACGGGACCCCCTCATTTCCTTCCCAAACCGCAGTGTTGGGCAGAAGTCAGAGGCGGTAATTTGTCTTCTGTAAACCAACTAGAATACAGTTTGTCTCTGTTAGGGCGGAGGTCTCCCCGGAGAACTTGACGGTGTGCAGTCATCACGACTGGAGCTTGTGTCAACTACAAAGCCAAGGTCGTTCTAATAGATGGTGCCACTGTGTCTAGTATACAGCATATGAGGCATTGTACCATTTCGCAGATGACTATGTGATTTCGTATTTCATTATTTTAAATCTATGGTTTCTTGGACAATTCTATGGGTGGTAGGCTTAAAAAAAAATCATCCCTTCCCTCCCTCCCCTCCCCTCGCCCTCCACCCAGTTGCAGACGTGAAGGCCCCCAGAGAGGTACGTAAATATACCTCTTGATAGATTTTTACAAGGTGAACACACCCAGGTGTCCCCCACCCAGGTTAATAAGACGACTGTTGCAGCTTCCCATGCCCCAACCTCTCCTTTCTGAAGAGAACCGTATCTTGGCTGCTTACAGCACAGATCGGTTTTGCCAGGGTTGGGATTTGATGAACTCACGCTGGTTGGTTTCCAGCATACACTCATTCTCTACCACTCCTGGATTCCTTAGATTTTTTTCCAGCTTTGCTCAGCGCATGCATGTGTTGCTCTATTGTATGAGCAATCGGCACTTGGCAGCATCCTTCATAGGTGGGGTCTGAGGGCAACAGTTGAATTGCACCCGGTTTTCCCTTTTGGGCAGAGGCAAAGGACAGAAGTCTGGTTTCTACTGAGGACAAAGGGAAGGAGCCGTTGTGGCCACATTTGCAGGGGCCCTGGGAGAATCTGGAACAACACTTGTGGGTCTGAAAGCTGACTTTGTGCTTCTGTTTTGATCTTGTTGAATGAGCTGAAGACACACAACAGGTGTGTGAGGCAAGCGTGCCCCAATCCTTTGACTCCTGCTCTTAAGGGAGTCGATTGTTTTTGCTCAGCAGCTCAGGAGCCTCTGGGTGGTGCAAACAGTGAGCACTCAGCTGCCAACTAAAAGGTTAACGGTTTGAGTTCACTCAGAGGTGCCTTGGAAGATATGCCTGGGGATGTGCTTTCAAAACACAGCCACTGGAAACCTTGTGGTGCACAGTTCTGTTCCGACATGCCTGATGTTGCCGTGAGTCAGAGCTGACTGGAGGGAAATGTGTGGGCGACCAGCCTCCACAGCTGAGTGGGTCCTAGAGGGCAGTGGTATCATTGAAGAGTAAGTTAAAGAAACATCAGGCAAGGCATGCAAGGGCTCACCTCTTCTATGGAGACTGGAACCAGAGTGACAGAGAGAGAGACAGACAGACAGACAGACAGACCTAATGTGTTCCGGTTCTCAGTTTCCCACAATAACCGGTGTGGGTTATTTATTTATTTTTTAACCTTTACTTTTCTCACCAAATGGCTTGAAAAAATGTTAAATAAAGATTAACCCGGAGATGCAAAAAAAAAAAAAAATCCTTGTTTGAAAATAATGGCAAAAGGGGGACTTTAGAGTTTCCATACTCCTGTACGTATGTTATCTATCTGTCCCTTGCTACCAAATGAATTTTCATTATGGCTGTGCCTTAGTGGAATCTAATCGTCATGAGTTATTTTCATGTGAATTTGTGATTTTCAATATAATGTCAGTATATATATCATCCTTGCTTTATGATATATTTGTATTTAAAAGTCATGTTTTCTGAAAAAAAATAATGCCTTCTGAATTTATGTAGTAGTTGGCAGGTTTCTGGGCCATGTAAACATTTACTTAATGTATTCATTTCACTTTATTTCATCTTCTAGTAACTGAACTTGTACTCTGTGTCAAGGTTTGGGATGTTCAAGGTCACAATGGATTGGAGATGACAGACATGCTATTGATATTATCGCTGCATGTGTTATATTATTGTACCAGAGCACTAGAAGTGGGAGCAGTAGGCAAGGAGTAGGTTGTCATTGAGTCCTGAAAGCCTCGGCCATGGATAGGAGCCCAGGCGGCATAGTGCTTAGCTCCACACTGGGCTGCCAAACTCAAGGTCTGCAGTTGGAAACCACCAGCGGCTCTACAGGAGAAAGACAGGCCTTTCTACTCCATAGAGAGTTACAGTCTCAGAAACCCACAGGGACAGTTCTACCTGCTCTGTCGGGTCTCTGTGAGTCAGCATCAACTCGGTAGCAGTGAGTTAAAAAAATTTTTTTTAGCCATGGATGGAGTGGGGTGGGGAGCCTGCTTTCTTTGGAACTTGGGGTGTTATTTTGGGATTTAGTTGACAGGCATTCCAAAAACCAAGCAAATAATGACAACAAAAACCCAGCCCTCTGCTGGAATGAATAGACCCCAATGCCTTTGGACCTCCACTCAAGAGTAGAACTGTCCCGTTGGCTTTCCAAGGCTTGCCTCTCTATGGAAGCCACATCGTTCTCTTGTGGAGCAGATGGTGGGTGCAAACCAGGACCTCTTGTTCGCAGTCAAGCCCTTTAACTGCTGTGCCAGTTCAACTGGAGTTTAACTCCAGGCCCAGGGTGACACAAGTGGTTAAACCTTTTACTACTAGCAGCAAGGTTGCCAGTTCCAACCCACCCTGATGTGCCTCAGGAGACAGGCCTGGTATACTTTTTCCTCAAAGGACATGGCCTTGAATCCCCCAGGGAGCAGTTCTACCCTCTCTATGTGAGGTCACCAAGCGTCTGATTCTACGGCAACAATAAACTAATAGGTAGAGGAAGACAGCTTGGAGTAGGAGTCCTTGCTGTGCATTGTACTCATCCTTGCGTCAGTTGGGCCACAGGGTGACCCTATGTGCAAAGAGTTGGCCCTGACCTTCTGGGATCAGAGTACCTGTTTTTGGAGGTGCATTCAGCTGGGTTGTCACCACCACCGTTTGGGCAAGTCGTGGAGCACATGACCATTTGGGCCACCCAGGGGTCCCAGGTGCCTTACGAGAGTTAGCTGGGGAGGTGGGAAGAAAGCAAAGAAAATGGAAGCCAAGAGCACAAAGTGTGCCCAGAAGGGAGGGATCTGCACTTGAATGATGATGAAGATCATCAGGTAAACACTCCGGCTTTTGAAGAGGAGGGAGCGTGTGCAAGACCCTCGAGTCCACTCGTTCTCAGTCGCCGCTAACCGTTTGATTCACTGCTGTCAGCTGCACGCTGTGCAGTGAAACCAAACCCACTGCTCTGCTGTTGGGTCCAACTCACAGCAGCGCTGGAGGACAGAGGAGACCACTCCGTGGTGCTTGAAAGATTGTACTTTTTACTGAAGCTGACTGCCACAGCTTCCTCCAGGGAGCTGCTGTGGATTTGACTTTCCACCCTGACCACAGTTGAGCGCGTAACTATTGCAGTACCATTGGATTAGAGAAACCAGAATACAGTGGAGACCCCTGCACTGATCCAGGTGAGAAAGAAGACTGGCGTGGAAAAGAGAGGCCAGCCAGTTGGCGGGGCTGTAGCATAACTAGGTTGGACTTTGTGATCGCTTCCATTTGGAGGAAAATGGGGAAAGGATGGTGAGGACATCTATTGAGAGAATTCCTGTCCTGAATAACTGGTCTTTTGTGTTTTCCATTTCAGGTACTCCTTTTTGGTAGCAATGGGATACCTTACCATATGCCACGTCACCCGAATATACATATTCCACTATGGCATTCTCACTACAGATTTTTCGGGGTGAGTATCTCCATTTTGGAGCCGTGGTTGCCAACTTTGACTCCGGTTTTTTTGGGGGGGGATCTGTAAATATCGGGGGACACATATGAATCACCTGTCTCTGGCTTAGTCAGTTGGGAAGACACTGGCAATGGCGTTGAGGTGGAAGACTTGGCTGCTAGTGGGACCACCACATTCTGAGGCCAAACTGAAAGTCAAACGCACTGCCATCGAGTCAATTCTGACTCAGAGTGGCCCTATGGCCTTACAAAACATCTGTGGTTTTTGTAAGACTGTACCTCTTTCCCGGAATCGAAAGCCTCATCTTTCTCCCTCGGAGTGACTAGTGGTTTTGAACTGCTGACTTTGAGATTAGCAGCCCAACGTGCATCCATTATTCTACCAGGGCTCTGGATGGGAATTGCGAATGATGACTCATGGGCCGTATTTGTCTGCATTGGTTTCTTACGGCTGTTGTAACAAAGTACCACGCACAGGGTGGTTTATGACAACAGAAATGTATTCTCTTGAAGTTCTGTTGGAGACCATAGTCTGAAAACAAGGCAGTGGCCAGGCTAGCCTCACTCCTGGGCTCCCGGGGAAGATCCTTCCGGGCCTCTTCCGGCTTCTTATCACCCCAGGTCTTCTTGGCTTATAGAAGCAGCACTCTAATCGCTTATGTTTTTTATTGGTTGATGTATTTTGAGACTGAATCTCTTCTTTTCCTAAAAGGACATGTCTTATTGGATTAGGACCCACCCTACTTCTGTAGGACCTCGTGTGAATGTAACAAATTACATCTCCAAAGATCCTGTTTCCAAATAAGGTCATAGCCATCAATACTGGAGTTAGGATGTCAACATATATTTTTACGACTTCAACATATATTTTTGAACAAAAAGTTAATGCACTGCACCATCACACTGCCTGTGGTTGTAAACAGAGTTTTACCAGAGCCCAGCCATGCGCTTATTCAATTAGTTATTGTCTACGGCAGCTTTTGTATCAACATAGCCAAGACTATGATCTACAAGAAAATATGTATGACTTGCTTCTTTATAGAAAGTTTGCCTATCCTTGTGCTAAGGCGCTAACATGGAGTTGATGTCCAACTCTTGGTAGATAATTACAGAATTCTTCTGTCCTAGCTAGCAAGTCTCTGTCTTGGAGCCCTGGTGGCAGAGTGGCTATGAGTTTCACTGCTAATCAAAAGGCAGCAGTTTGAAACCACCAGTCACTCCATGGAAGGAAGATGAGGCTCTCTACTCTCATAAAGAGTTACAGTCTAAGAAACCCACAGTAGCAGTTCTACCCTGTCCTGTAGAGTCCCAGAGAGTCAGAATCAACTCGATAACAGTGAGTTTGGTTTGGCTTTGGTACACTAGACTTTCGTAGCTTTAGGCCCTAAAGTTTAGGGGCTGATGAACTCAAGACCCAGGCTGGTGGCTGTAGAGGTGGATGAATCCACGATGGGCAGGTCAGATGGCAGGCCTCCCAGAATCGATAGGCAATTTACTGGGTTCTTGTTGCAAGTTCCAAGGACCAGAGGTTGTTGAGCCAGATGCAGGCAAGCACGCTTTTCTGCAGAGTCCACTTCTCTTGGAAGCAGGCTACACCTCTGAGGCAATCAATTGCACCAGGTTGTGACCCGCGTGAGGGTGTGGCTTTCCACCCTAGTCTTATGCCATGATGGTTGCAATCACATCGTGTTAGGTGAGGCCATGGGAATTAGTAGGCATGAACTGCCAGAGGATTCAGTGTTAACTATGCTAAGGATCATGGCCCAGCCAAGTTGACACAAAACCTTAATTATCACATCCCCTAAATCTTCTGGCATGGTGGGTATGTATGTGTTGAGCGTCAATCTGCAAGGTAGACAGTTAGAAACCAGCAGCCAGCTCTATGGTAGAAAG